TCCCTACCCTAGTGTATTTACCACGCCTCCTAGTTAGTGTCATCTGCAAACTTGCTGAGAGTGCAGTCCACACCATCCTCCAAATCATTAATAAAGATATTAAACAAAACCGGCCCCAGGACCAACCCTTGGGGCACTCCGCTTGAAACCGGCTGCCAACTAGACATGGAGCCATTGATCACTACCCGTTGAGCCGTTATTTTTCTAGCCTCATGTTTTCTTTGCTGCATCTGAGTAGAACCTATTGAACTCAAAGGAATTACCCATATACATAGAAGCATAGAAATGTAGGGCCGCAGGGGACCTATAAGTCAACAAATCCAACCCCCTGCATTGAGGCAGGACCAAGTAAACCCCTAGACCATCTCTGACAGGTGTTTGTCCAACCTGTTCTGAAAAACCTCCAGTGATGGGATTCGACAACCTCTCTTGGAAGCCTATTCCGGATCTTATCTACTCTTAGAAAGTTTTCCCTAAGATCTACTCCTGACTGCATACTCACCACTCCATTATCCAAGTCGTTAATAGAAATACTGAATAGTACCAGACTGAGGACAGACCCCTGGAGGACCCCACTAGCTATACAAACTTAAATATGTTAATCTGTCTTTGTAAGATCAGGACCTATGCATTTAGCTTTGCTCCCACGGAACTAAATGGGAGATTTGCTATTGACCTCAATGGTTGAATGATCAGGCCTTTTTTACCAGGTATTTTACAACATAACTGTAGCATGTCAGTGGGGAAACTGCGATTGTAATGTGTTAATAGTTACATAGGTAATGGGACTTCTTATAATAGAAAAATATTTTAAACCTGTAGTCACTAGAGGCTCATCTTCATTGCAGAATTAGTCCTGATGATCTGCACCTGTGTCTGAGCAACTGGGTTAGTGTCACCCAGGTGTGAGTGTCCCCATTGCAAAGCCCCACCCAAGTCATACCCAGATTGCTGTGTCCACAATGGTGCTGTACTCACCCAGGGCTTCGCATGGGACTTGCTATCTAAGCTGCCTCGAGAAATTTTTTAATGCTCGTGTCAGTGTAAGGTCATAGAAATGTAGAGCTGGAAGGGATCTGAAGAGGTCATCTAGACCACCCCTCCCCCCCGCACTGAGTCAGAATTAAATATACCTAGGTAAAGTCCCCTACTATATCTATAACTATCTATGCTTCTGCTGCCCATTTCCCTATGTTTGCAAGCGTTGCTGGTTGTATTGCTTGGATGCATGCAGCAGAGGGTGCCACAATACATCACTGGTTTCATGTATATTCCCCATTGTCCTGCCCCCCCTCCCCCTTGGAATTCAAGTGGCCAGTGAGGAGGGGGCAAGAAAGCAGGAGCAGGGAAAACGGAAGGTTCTTCTGCCCTCAGTTGAAGCTTTGTTATTAAAGCTGACTGCCCCCCCCCCCCAGCACATAACATCCCTAGGACAGCAATGAGATTGGTCTTAAACAGTTGTAATAGTTCCCATAACAGTAATAAATATGGCAGGTTGTATCTTCCCCAGCTGCTAAAATGCTGGTCTCTCTTCTTCATCTTCCTCATCCATTCTCCCATCTCTTTCCTGAAGAGGTTCTGGGATTCAGGCTTCAGGTCATTCTGGCTATGCCACAAAGCATGTGACGTTTACTCTAGCTCCTGTGGTCCCACTTTGCCTGGTCAAGCACCAGCAACATCCATAGTCAAAAGCCCATCCAGGGGAAAGGGGGCTCTGCTTGGGGCAGTGCCAGGTGCCTGGTTCAGCTCCTGATAGGAAGGGCTCATTCCCAGTGAGTCGTCAGGCTGGGGGATGTGATCCTTGGTTTTATGTGGTTTTGAGGGATTTGATTTTCTCCCTGCACTGTGATTCCCTCTGCTGAAATCCCTTCATTGCCAGCATCTTGGAAATATCCTTTTCGAACAGCAGGTTTTGACTCCATCCCTCCCCAAATTGTGGGTGTTACTGAGCTTGCACCAGAGGTCCACCAGGATCCTCATTTCAGTACTTGACCAGCTGGCAGCATGCTGGAGGGATGATCTCTCAGACAACATCTCTCTGCAAGTACTATGGAAGTGCAGTAGAATTGTAGCAGACCACATGCAATGTTTAAACCATGAACTGGTGTCTATAAACGGGAAGGTGGCTTCCAGTGCAGAAGAAGGGTGTAGGTAGTGGCCAAGGACATACGGCCCAGGAGGAATTGTGGGAAGGCACTGGAGGACTATCACCCCCTGAAGTGATCAGCCTCTATCCACACTGCAAAGTGGGCAGGTAACCAACCTGAGTTAAAGGAGAACCTGGGCTATAGGCTATCCTCCAAGCCTTTCCACTGACCCTGGGTTTAAGCACCATCAAACCTGAGTCAGAATGGTTGTGCATGGGCAGTAAAGAGGTTGGGGCAACAGTCAGGTAAGATCCTGGGATAACTCTGCAGTGAAGCTAAAGCCTTGGAGAGAAACACTCATGCAACCCAGTAGAGGTTCTGATGCTTTATATTCCAGTATACTTCTGGAAGAACTTATAACGTTCTTTTTTCCTCTGTGTATTAGTTTTTACAATATTGAATCATGCAATACTTGTTCAGATCTGTTCTCATCTCTAATTATATGGTTGGTTTTAGGGTGGAGAAGATCTGTAGAACAAGGTAATTAAACATCACATTTTATCAGTGTCCAAATATCAGTTCCCATGAGACAATGTTCCTCTTTCTCCTTGAATGTGGGAGTGGATGTGATAGTTCAGGGCAGACCTCCTCTGCACCTCACAGTGCATCATGAGGAGAGGCAGGGCTTGTGCCTATGTCCTGCCACACCATAATGGATCTATAGCATATTGCATCTACTCTTCCTGCCCCTCCACTGCCTGCATGTGCACTGCACCCTGCAGAGATTTGTGACAGCAGCTTCCACTCACTGTACAGATCCAGTGGGACATGCACCTCCACAGCCACTTCTCATGGGGGAGTTTGTTTTATCTCCCTGTGCTGCTGGCCTGTCTCCAATTTCTCTGTTTCTTCCTTCATCTTCTCCCCTATAAAGAAAGCCAATAAACCAGTAGCTCTGCAGTGACCCCACACTGACAGGGTGAGCAGGGACTGTATCTGTGTGCAACACTTGCTCCAGTCTCCAGCAGAGGAACAGAGCCTTGATCCCAGACAGGGTCTCTCCGGTTCCATTATCACACATCAGGTATCTCCTGTGATTGGAGCTCTGAGCTTCACTCTTTTCTCCTCTCTCCATCCACCATGATCCCAGCATTCTCCTGTCTTTGGTAAGCAGCACGTCACTTTAGCCTCCCATCACTAGGATGACCATCTCCTTCTTTCTACCTCCCCCCCACACTCATAGCTTCTGCCTCATTCTATCATGAACCCCCTCCCCTTGTGCTCACCCCTCTCTCCCTGCCTCATGCTAATGTACTTTTGCGCTGTTACTGCTGCTGAGCAGTGACATTCTGGGCATGTCCAATCCTGGTACTGTGTGGCCTGTTCCCATCTGAGCTGTGACATTTCAGAGCAGGCAGGGTGCAGTGGGGAGGCCCCATAGCAAAGTCCAGCACAGGGGCAGCTGGGACACAATGAGATTTAAGGTGGGAGGGGGAGGGGAGTTCTGTCAATGTTCACTGAGTTGTACCATCTGCTGGGGCTCCCAGAGTCTCTAGTCCCTTCCCTGGGGAGAGGTGGGAGCAGGAGGGGAAAGATTCAGAGTCTCAGGCCTGGCCCAGCTGATACTTTCACCTGTCACTGACCCCTCTCTGCCACGGGGGGGGGGGCACGACTCTCCCCAGCTCTGTGCTGAGATCTCAGAGCTGAGGGGTACATCCTGGAGGAAAGAGATTCCCTGAGTCACTCTCCAGCTAGGGCAGATTCTGTCACTGATACAATCAGATTTTACCCCAGGGCCGAGCTCTGCCCCTCACACTCTGATTCTCTCTCCCCAGCGAATGCGACTCTGGATCCAGACACGGCTCATCCCAGACTGGTCCTGTCTGAGGATCGGAAAAGTGTGAGATGTGGAGACACACGGCAGCATCTGCCTGACAACCCTGAGAGATTTGACTCTGATCTCTGTGTGCTGGGCTGTGAGGGATTCACCTCGGGGAGACATTGCTGGGAGGTGGAGGTGGGGGGTGGGGAAAGCTGGGCTGTGGGGGCGGCCAGAGAGTCTGTGGGGAGGAAGGGACGGATCAGCCGTAGCCCTGAGGGGGGGATCTGGGCTGTGCAGTGCTGGTGGGGGGGTCAGTTCCGGGCTCTCACTGACCCTGAGGCCCCCCTGCCCCTGCCCCGCATCCCCAGCAGGATCCGGGTTTGTCTGGACTGTGACCGGGGGCAGGTGACATTTATCGATGCTGGTGACGAGACCTCGATCTTCACTTTCCCGCCGGGCCCCATCCCTGGGGAGAGAATCCGACCCTGGCTCTGGGTGGGGTCGGGAGCCCAGCTCATACTGTGTCCCTGAGGTGGGGGGAGGAATATCCCACTGCGGGCCCTGAAATCAGCCTCTCTGGTCTCTATGATCTTGGAGTACTCCTGTCTACCCAATCCTCTGGCCTCTTAACTCTGACTTCTGGAAGCTCCTCCCTGTCCCTGCAGCCCCAGGGATGGGAGGGGGAGGGGGAGGAACCCCTGGGGCTGCAGGGACAGGGAGGAGCTTCCAGAAGTC